GATCGACTGATGTCTCGGACGGTCACAGTCATGGTACGCATTGCGCTGGCACTATCGCCGCCCAACGCAATAATGGTCTGGGATCAGTGGAATCGCACAAGCGAGGTTGATGGCACTCAAGATATGTGATGATACCGGTAGCTGTAACATACTGCTAGCTTTCCGAGCCTTCGAGTTTGCCCTGGAGCACGGTGCTCAAGTGTCTTCACATTCTTATATGGCTGATACTGGTGCAGCCATATTGGAAGAGGCTTACAAAAACGCAGGGGCAACTGGACATGTTATGATCTTTGCAGCTGGGAACGACGGGCAGAATATCGACACCAGTAAATACCCCTGCACGCTAAGCCGACTCATACCAACATCTGTCTGCGTTACTCACACGAACTTGGATGCACCCGATAAATATACGCTTGCTAAAAAGGCAAATTATGGCCCCTATGTGGATATGACTGCTCCAGGCATCGGAGTGTTCTCCACCGTACCACTTAGTAACTACGTCTACATGTCTGGTTCGTCTATGGCGGCCCCTCATGTAGCTGGTGTGGCTGGTATGTTGGCCTCTATGAATCTTAACGGTGAAGATATTATCCGAGCTTTGCGCGCCTCTGTCCTGCCGCTATCAGATAATGAGACCAAATTCCTCAAGGACGGTGGAGGGTTCTTGAATGCACGTCAAGCGGTTGAGAATGCTCTCAAGTTGATGGGTGGTGGCCAAGTGACCACCGAAAGTTGGCAGTCGACGGCAGTTCCTCCGAGCGGAGCCCCAGAGTCTGAGACCACCACCTTCCCAAGTCCGCCTGAAACGTTCCCAGGAATCTCTCATACTATCGCTAATGCGGGCTCGGCATTTGTGCTATTATTGGTGCTGCTGAGCTTCTAGTGCAAGGCCCAGACTGACCTGACGGCCTCAACGGCCAGTTTTTGTGAAGTTGCACGACTGTGCAGATTCTCACCCTGAGCGATGTCTATCAGTAGTTTTAAACTGTATTATCTCTTCTACTGCTCCTCTGTATATCAGATAATGTTTGAACTGAACTATCAGATGTTAGATCAGAATTGTTATCAAGCGTTCAGAGGTTGAACTCATAACGACGTTAGTTCTTTTCGCGGTATTACTTATTTGTTTCCCCTAGCCCGTATCAACAAGGACCAACACTATTTTTTGGATTAGAGTAGGCAAGTGCCCAAGCAAGTGTGATCAGCGAGGAGCGTTCTCATAGTGTTTCTAAGTGGAAGTTCATTCGTTGAATTCACACAGTTGGGATGTCTGATATCACGTCACGCAAGGGCGATGACTGGCTGAAATTAGTGGTGGTTACGGTCCGAATACTGATCAAATCTGATGTAGTCAGTCCTGTCCTCTCGTTGAGGAACCGCCTAGTGACCTGTGGTAACGTCCAAGTTCCTCCACTTAACCCAGCGTTATGGAGGAATGGGAGGTATCAGCCACATAGCGCATTATTGACCCGAACACAACATGGAGGTTTTCAATTGAGCACAACAATGGAAAGTCAACTTGCAAGTCAACCGTCGAGTCTTAAAAGCTATCAAGTACAGCACCAGGGTCCTCAAGGAGGGCCTTCACACGTAGTGCCTCTTCCACGGTGATACCTCTACTGTAAGTAGGCTGGACAAATCTCGAATACATCGGATCATCGGACGGGACCACATCCCTATCGTCGAGGATGACGTACCTCTCTACGAGGTGCGGATGCTCTCTCAACCACGCCTTGATCTCATCCAGTCTGCAGCTGTACACCTGAGTCTTCACACTACGTAAGGCCGATGGGCTCTCATGACTTACCCTTGTGTTAGTCGCTTTATAGTTGAGGTGAGGCGTTCCTGTAGTCCTGCCTATGACCACATCAGGAGGGAGGTCAGCTAGTCGGCAGAAGACGTAGGTGATGTAACTACAGGCAGCTCAAGTGGCTGGCGACGCGTGCTTGACTTACTCCTCGAAACCGCGCCAATAGGTGGTCCACACTAGCTTGCACCCCGTCTGCCGCACTATATCCCCGACACGATTCACGAGATCCTGAACTCTACAGTGGACACGAGCGTGCTACAGAGGCACGTACAGGGTTGAAAATGACTTGGGGTCCTCCTTTGACCGTATTGAGGACACCATCAATGTCGAGGAAAAGGATTTTGTAAGGAGGGGAGCCGCCGCTACTAGTGCAAGCAGTGGTCTCTGCAGATGATGCGGAATTCCCGATCATTTATGGAGAAACGGAAACATTCACAGTTCTCTTCCCGAGAACACCAACTCAACATCTTCCTTGCCACTATGATGACTGATTTTCATGACCACTGGGTTTTACTGTGCTTGCTACGGTAACCGCATATTTCCGCTCTAGTCAACTTCTGATAGGAACAGAACCATGCCGATGTTCAGCGGAATTTGCACACACTAT